TTGCATTTGATATAGCGCCTTATCAGATCGTCGAGACGTCTCAAAGTGCTTCACAGAATATACTGCAAAGCGTATGACTGACTATATTTTATTTGATTGTTTTTTCAAGGGTTTATTATCCCGGAAAAGCAATCCGCCGATCAACTAACAAGCAGGTTCCTACTTACTGCTAGTTAAACAGAGGCGTGTGGAGTAAGGAAACTTATATAATAATAATTTGCCTAATAATAACTTCACCTTAGTTAAGCTACCAAGTAAAAAAAAAAGGGGCAGGGGCTGGGGGCAGTAAAGAATTGGGGAGGGAAGAAAGAATTGTGTGCAATGAATTAGATAAAAGAGTCTTTCCCAACACTATTCCAAGTCTTCCCCCAAATGATCAACAGCTTCCAACCTTCTGTTGCCCACACTGTGTAATCAAACACGAGGTGCTCAGGGACAGCTCGGAGAGAGAGATCTCTTTCCTCCTCCCTTAGGGATACATCTTGGCTCCTCTCAAGGCTTCCTGATAGACACCGTGGCTGAGATTAGCAAAACCAAGCGCAGGCAGAAATATCAGGCTCAAGGACGCACCTCGCCGCTCTCGTGTTGTGAAAACATTTTCCCCACGCACCTGTTCTCACCCTCCAGATACAGTGGTCAGTCCCTAACTCCTCGTCTCCCATTCAGCTTTTCCGGGCACGTTAACAAGGCACCGACAAAGTACACTGATTCAGAACTCCGTGGAGTCCTGTAGCTCGGTGGTTAGAGCGCTCGCTTTGCAAGCGAGAGACCCTGGTTCGATTCCCGGCAGAGGGCGAAACCTCGGGCAAGTTTCCTTACTCCACATCCTGATAATAACCCCTCAAAAAGAACAATAATAGATTGGTCATTTTCAATCCACGACTGTTTGTGGGGACGCTGCTGCGCACAATTGGCTGCCGCGTTTCGCCCACAAATATACAGTCAACTACTTCACAGCATATTCTGTGAAGCGCTTTGAGGCGTCGAGAAGACGTGAAGCTTTAGAACTCTCTCCCTCAATTTCTCCACCTCGTCGCCTCCTTACCCTCTTGTAGATCACGGCAGGAGGACCTTTATCGCTTCACCCGCGCCTCCTCCTCCCCCACCCCGGCTTGGCACCAGGCGCCGCCTATAAATCGACCCCACTGCGTGAAAGCTCTTCTTGAGGCATTTGGATGTCACCAGGCGTTGTATCAAATGCAAGTATTATTTAGCAACACAAAATAATCAGACAGTCCTACAGACTTGTGAGCACCAGCTGTGCCATCAGTGAGTCAGGTCCCCGTGGGGAGTGGGGGCGGGGGAGAGTGGGGGGGGTGGGGTGCCCGTTTCCAACAGCCACACGGTTACTCCCAGAAGACCAAAGAACGCCTTAAATACACCTTTCATTGTACAGTTCCTCTCCTGGATAAACAAGGGTTAACATCACACAAAGTGCTTGTGAAATATTAACAATGGCAAACAATTTGGCACAGTCTAACAAAACAGGAGAGTGATGTAAAAAGTATGTGTTATGAACCTCCGCAGAAGGTGGGGGGGGGAGGGGGAAAACAGAGAGAGAAGATGCTGCCGTTTCAAGATGAGTGAAGTTGCAACCGCAACCCGTAAAGTAATGACATTCTGAACGAAAGATTTTCTTCAATGGGTTAAAGGTACATTTGCAAACCAGCCATCGACTTGTTCGGGTTTTCCTAAAGTGGGCAAAAGCCCTGTAGATCTACGTACATTACTGAGAGACGCGCACACACAACTCTCTCACTCACTCACACACTCTCTCACACGCACACACACACTCTCTCTCTCTCACACGCACCCGCAAGCGTTTCAATAACAACACACTGAAACACGAAGGCTTGGCCAGTTTACACGGTGAGCAGTGCGAGGCAATATGCCAAGCTCCCAGGTTTGATCGCCTGTTTGTGCCGAGAGACTGACCTGATCACAAGCCGGAGCAGCGATTTGTTACTACGATCCACGCCGCCACCACCACCACAACAACAACAGCAGCAGCAGCTTGCATTTACATTGCGCCCTTCACTGGGGCAGCATCTCTGAGCGCTTAACAGTGACGGAGCCCGATGCCAAGCCGGGTGGGGGGGGGGGGGGAGAGGAGGAGGTGACCGTAAGCACAGTCAAAGAGGAAGCTCTTCAGTCGTGGTTTAAAAGAGGAGAAGGTGGGGGTTGGGGGGTGCAAAGTGGAGGGATTGGGAGAGAGAGTTCCAAAGCTTCGGGGCGTAGCGGATGAAAAAGCGCAGCTGCCGATGGTGGAGCGGAGGGGACGAGAGACGAGCACGAGGCCGGGACCAGCCGAGAGGAGACAGTGGGTCGTGGCGTGGGGCGAATGCGGGTCAGGGAGATAGGGAGGTGTCAGGGCGAGAAGTGGGGGTGAGGGGGAGGAGAGAGAGAGAGAGAGAGAGAGAGTAGGAAAATCAGTCGTCGGTCAAGGTCTCTAATGCTGAAAATTGCTCCGAAAACTAGCAACAGAAAATAAACTTTGTGGGCGCGGTAAAAAAAAGAGAACAATTGTGGGGACGACAAAAGTATAGTTAGGTTATCAGTTAAAGAGTTAACCTTAACCTGACGTCAGGCTCCAACTTGAATTCTTGGAATGAAAATCTCTCACAAACAAACACACCCCCACACACCCCCACAACACCAACCCCCCCCCACCCCCCAACTCCCTGAAAAACAAGTATCAAGCTGGAAAATTTACCCCCTACACGCACAGAGGAGGCAGTTTAGCTGAAACACTTAATATATATTGATATATTAGAGAAAAATATATATATATACACACAAACACAAACACCCCAACCCTCCCACCCCCCCCCCAAATCCCTGAAAAAAAAGTATCAAGATGGCAAATTTAACCCCAACACACACACACACACACACAGAGGAGGGAGTTTAGCTGAAACACTTAATATATAGTGATATATTAGAGAAATATATATACATATATATATACACACAAACACACTGATCTGGGGAATCTCATGAAAACAATAGAGGAGGCACCAGGCGGGGGGGCTGGGGGCTGGGGGCTGGGGGTCTGGGGTGGGGGCTGGGGTGGGACTGGGGGTCTGGGGTTGGGGGCTGGGGCTGGGGCTGGGGTCTGGGGGTTGGGGTGGGGGCTGGGGGTGGGACTGGGGGTTGGGGGGGCTGGGGTTGGGGGGTTGGGGTGGGGGCTGGGGGTGGGACTGGGGGTTGGGGGGTTGGGGGGGTTGGGGAGGGGGCTGGGGGTTGGGGGGGCTGGGGTTGGGGGGGCTGGGGGTTGGGGGGTTGGGGTGGGGGCTGGGGGTTGGGGTGGGGGTTGGGGGGGCTGGGGGTTGGGGGGGCTGGGTGCTGGAGGTTGGGGGGGCTGGGAGTTGGGGGAGGGGGTTGGGGGTGGGGGGTTGGGGGTGGGGGGGGTTGGGGGGGGGGATTGGGTCAGTAAAGGGATCTATTTTGACACAGTTTGGATAACCTTCTGTAAGGAATTTGTTGCCTTAAACAAAATCCTTCCAAGTTTTGGGGTCAAACAAACCACTGGGTCTTTTTTTTGTTGTTTGGCAAAGGATCTTTACTCTCCTAAACCTCTGAGAGAGAGAGGGAGAGGGGGGGAGAGGGAGGGGGGGAGATAGAGAGGGATAGAAGGAGAGAGAGACAGAGAAGGAGAGAGAGACAGAGAGGGAGAGAGAGGGTGAGAGAGAAAGAGGAGAGAGGAGAGGAGAGGGAGAGAAAGAGAAGGAGAGAGAGGGGAAGGGAAGGGAGACAGAGAAGGAGAGAGAGACAGAGAGGGAGAGAGAGAGGAGAGAGACACAGAAGGAGAGAGAGAAAAGGAGAGAGACAGAGAGAGAGAGAGGAGAGACAGAGAGAGAGAGGAACAGAGAAGGAGAGAGAGACAGAGAGGGAGAGAGAGGAGAGACACAGAAGGAGAGAGAGAGAGAGGAGAGAGAGACAGAGAAGGAGAGAGAGACAGAGAGGGAGAGAGAGAGGAGAGACACACAGAAGGAGAGAGAGAGAGGAGAGAGAGACAGAGAAGGAGAGAGAGACAGAGAGGGAGAGAGAGAGGAGAGACACACAGAAGGAGAGAGAGAAAAGGAGAGAGACAGAGAGAGAGAGGAGAGAGACAGAGAGAGAGGAGAGAGACAGAGAGAGAGAGGAACAGAGAAGGAGAGAGAGAGACAGAGAGAGAGAAGCGATGGGTGGATTTTCTCAGGTGGAATAAGAAGAAGACGCCTCGAAAAGAGGGCGAGAGGGAGGGACAGAGAGACAGAGAGAGAAAGAAAGAGAGACAGAGAGAGAGAGAGCAAAGTTGCAGATGAAGCTGACAAACTGCTGCTTTCAGTCTGTTTCACTTTATTCTTTCTTTCCCTCTCTCTTTTTATCTGTCGATCTAACTCTCTCCCTCTCTCCATAGTCTGTGCTATTTCTTTCTCACTCTCTCTCTCTCTCTCTCTGTGTCTGTCGATTTAACTCTCTTTCCTGCCCTCTCCATCTCTTTCTCTCTCTCTCTCTCTCTCTCGTCTGTGTCTAATTCTTTCTCTCTCTCTCTCTCTCTCTCTATCCTGTGCCCATCTTTCTCTCTATCGATCTCTCTCCCTCCCTCCCTCCCTCTCCTCCTTCATTTCTTTCCCTAGTTCTTTCTCTCTCTCCCTCCCTCTCCTCTTTCTTTCTCTCTCTCTCTCTCTCTATCTGTCGATCCAACTCTCTCTCTCTCTTTCTCTCTCTTTCTCTCTCTCTCTCTCTCTCTCTCTCTATTACCTCCTTCCCTCTGCTCTGGGGAGGGGGGGGGAGAGAGAGAAAAAAAACAAAGACCCCCCCACCCCCCCAAAAAAAAAACACAAGGAGAAAAAAGAAGAAATAATAGTAATAATAAAGAATAATCAATAATAATCAATAATAATAAATAATAATACATTTCCCCCTCAACGGACTCGAACCACCAAACGAATGGCGAGTGGAAAAAGAGAGAGAGAGAGAGAGAGAGACAAGAAATAATATCTTCCTCTCCTTACCTCAGGCTCAGACACACAGCCACAAGGTGAGGAACTCACATGACTCAATGCTGCTCCTCCTCAACCACCAGACAGACCCCAGACAGTCACCAGACACCAGGACCCAGACAGACACCCAGACAGAGAGAGAGAGAGAGAGAGAGATCACCTGTTAAGGCAACTGTGTACATCCGCACCGGATAACAACCACAGGGACTGGAGCAACAGGAAACGGAATTTGCCAAATTCCTTACCAATAATGAGAGAGAGAGAGAGAGAGCAAGAGAGAGAGAGAGAGAGAGAGAGAGAGAGGGAGAGAGAAAATAAAGAGCTTCCCAACAGGGATGCGGAGGGAGGGAGAAGTTTCGGTTTCGTCTCTCGCTCGTCTCCTTTCTCTCCGCCGATCGATCGACCGACCGGTCGGTCGGTGGGTCGGTGGACCGTCGCGTTCCGATCGGCGTCGCGCCTCCCGAGACGCCCGGCGGAAGTGACGCGGCTGGAAAATAATCCGCCTCGTTTCGTTTTCGCGGGCCCCGAGCGCCCAGGCCGGTCGCGAGCAGTGGTTTCTCCACCCGTCCAACCACCACCACCCCCCACCCACCCAACCCCAACCACCCCCCCCACCCCCACCCCCACCACCCTCCCACCACCGCCAACCGGCCAAAGTGACCGCATTATCTTTGGGGTTTCCTTGAGGGATTATTATCAGGCGCATGGAGTACGGAAGCTTGGCCGAGGTTTAGGTCCTGGACCGGGAATCGAACCCAGGTCCTCTCGTTTGCGAGGCGAGTGTCTCCAACCGCTGGGCTACAGGATCTTCACAAGTCCTCTACAGGACTGGTCTCTCGCTCGCTCGTTCTCTCTCTCTCTCTCTCTCTCTTTCCCCCACCCCCGTAAAACCTTTGTCCCTCTCCGCTACACCACGTTGCAGACAAACTCAATGGAAACCCTCTCAGCTAAAACGGGATGATAATTCTTAGCAAAATGTTTTGTAAATAAAAATACGACGACGATAATAATTCTTGCAGCCGGCACAGCACCGTATCGCGTCTTCGAGCCGTCTCGAAGCACTTCGTAGATTATACTGTGAAGCACTCCGGGGACCCTACCCCGTGTGAAGGGCGCTATGTAAATGCAAGTTGTTGCTGTAAAGTGGATCGACCGTTTCGAAGACGTGATAAGGCGCCATATCAAATGCAAGGATTATTATTGTTACATATTGCGGGCGAGTCGTAGCAGTCAAACGCACACAGCCGTGTCCCACAAACAGTCGTGGATTGAGCGACCAAATTATTATTGTTTCTAATGTTATTTTGCTTTAAACAAAAAAATGTTGGTGGAGGAAAATATGTCTTATTTATTTGCCAACGTCATGAACCAGAATGCGATCTTAACTCAATTTATCAATTCTTGCTGCCATGCAAATTGGAGGCTGACTGGTTTATTTTAACACCCCTTCCCTTCTCTCTCAATTCGGATTATGTAAAGTGGAAAATATATTGTAATTTGTTTTAAACCAATCTGGCTTTTAACTCTGTGTGTGTGAATTGATGAATGGGTGGGTTGGAGAAAAGGAGATACAGAGAGAGAAAGTATTGTCTAATTGGTGGGAGGTTTCTGTCGCTCCCCCCATTGGTTTTGGATGGTCGCTGCCCAGAGAATAATAATAATAATCCTTACATTTGATATAGCGCCTTATCATGTCGTTGAGGCGTCTCAAAGTGCTTCACAGAGTAAATGGTAAGATCAATTGTCTGTGTATTTTTTGTGGGTAAAACGCGGCAGCCCAAAGCAGTCTTTGTGCAAGCGGTTTGTTACTATTACAAAAAAAGGAAAAAAAACTGCGCATGCCGGGAATCGAAAATAAGAACAGAAAAATGCCGCAAATGCACAAATGATGTCATTTGAAAAAAGGATTTAATTTTTTCGGGTGTGTGACTGCTTCGGCTGTTAATTTCGGGTGGGACCTACTACCAGAACTGCTAGTGTAGCGTCACGTTGGAAACATGAGCGGATCCTTTTCAGAAGATGTTTAGCACAAATTTGGTGTTTTTCCAAGACCTTGAGACCTCTCTCCCACCCCCAATACCCCCCACCCCCGAGAGTGTGAGTGTGAAGACTGCAAGGTTGAGTTTTGGAACCTTAATGTTGAAAACTGTGTGAATTTATCTTTTATTAAACTGGAATAGAGCTGACTGAATGAGTCTCTGGATGTTTTGAAATGATTGCACCGGCAGTTATAACATGTTCACGTGTGTTTACATCTTGTGTGCAAATCTCTGTGCCTGCATGTGAGTGTCTGTATGTGTATCTACGCACGGCTTTCCCTACCTAAACACTGGCACTCAATCTAGTTCCATAATGTCCCTTCCTTTTGCTCCAGTAATGCAAACAACAGTCCACTATTATATAACGCACTTTCACATCAGAAGGTTATAATAATCCTTAAGTTTGATATAGCAATTTATCGCGTCATTGTGACTTGTATTTTGTGGGTGAAACGCGACTGCCAATTGCGCACAGCAGTGTCTCACAATCAGCCTTGGAGTGAGCGACCAATTTTTTTTTTTTTCGTGAATTGTTGGCCAGCAGAGAAACAGGCTGTCAATTATAATAATAATTGTCCAACTACGATATAAAAACAATATCCAAAATGGAGCAGAGGCTTAGTCTGATCTTAGATTCTTATGACCGTCTCGTGCGGCGTTCCTCATGGCTCTGTCCTTGGTCCCTTCCTCTTCAACATCTGTATGCTCCCCCTTGGTGACATTATCGGCTGATATGGGGTTAACTTCCACATGTATGTGAATGACACCTAACTATATCTCTCTGCCTCCACCCTCGACTCCAGGACAACAACAAAATTATATTTACAGAGCGCCTTTCACATCGGGAGGACGTCCCAAGGAGCTGGACAGTCAGGGGTCAGGACCCGAGCAGGGGGGACAACTGCTGTGCTGACAGAATGTCTGTCAGACATCAAGTCCTGGATGAGAGCTAACTTTCTTCAGTTGAACTTCAACAAGACCGAAGCTCTCCTAATTGGCTCCCGACAGCATCACCGTCCATGGTTGCTCACTCCACCTCACTAAGCCAATCCGGAACCTTGGGGTCTTGTTTGACCCTCAACTATCCTTTCTACCCCATATCTGCGCCATGACCTGCTCTGCCTTCTCCCACCTCCGTAACATTGCCCGGTTCCGACACTGTCCCACGCCGCAGGCCGCCAAAACCCTCATACATGCTTTCCACCACTCTGCGGCCGCCCTCTGGAACTCCATCCCGCATTCCCTCAGTCTCGCCCCCTCCCTCGCCTCCCTCAAGACCCACCTCAAGACCCTCCTCTTCGAACATGTTTTCGATCTCCCCGCTTCCCCTTGCCCTCCCCTACCCTGACCCTCAGCTCGGGTCTGTAATTCTGTCTGTCCAGCACCTTGGGACGTCCTTCCGACTTGAAAAGCGCTATGCAAATGTCATTTTGTTTGTGATATAAAAACAGCATCTAATAACCAATAATTTTACAACACACTATTATCAATACACCAAAAAGAGGCAATGCATACATATACATAATAATAATAATCATTTCTTGAATGAAGAAGGGAGGTGTCCAGGAATAGGCTGCACAACACCTTCATTGACCACAATCTGTGTCGAAGCCAAATAGATGCTCAACATACCCAGCGGGGGGGTGGGAAACCAACCTTGAGGAAGTGCGGGGGCAGGAATCCAAACGCTCCAAGTCATTCAGCAAAGAACCTCATCATGAGAGTCCAAACTGTATCCACATAGGATGTAACACAGCCTTCCTTTGTGTGAGTAGGTGTCGTTTTGGGGGGTGGGGGGGAATAGCATTTTAGAATTCATCATGCAATGGCTTTCCTTGGGAATGAAACTCTCACTGCTAAATATGCAAAGATAATAATAATCCTTGCATTGATATAGTGCCTTATCATGTTGTTGAGAGGTTCAAAGGGCTTTACAGAATATACTGTTACCCGTAACTTATTCTCCAAGTAGCGTGTTACCTGTGCAAACGGAATCCCTCTGCCTTGCCCCCTCCCTACCCCACCCTGCCTTCAAAACCCATCTCAAGATCTATCTCTTTGACTGTGTTGTCAGCCACTTTTTCCCCCTGAACACCCATGCTCAGGCTCCTGGTTTATATGCTTCAAGGGTCCGCCTGACCGTGAAGGGCTCTATTTAAACGCAAACAGACAATTGTATTACATGACCCTACATTACATCTTCTTGAGCGCAATTTTTTTTTTTAAATCGTGTGGGTTCGGAAAGGCAAACGGAGCAAAATTGAGCGTAATTTCAGCATCAAATCTGTGATCTTAGAGAGAAACAATGTCAGCCGGCAAAGGATGTTTCATTGTTCTTGCACTCTCTCTGGTGGCTGATCACAGTGATGGCAGTCGTGTTCTGGAGTCTTGCCCTGTCTTTAACAGAGGAGGGAAAAGGTGGGGGGAAAGTCTTTATCTTTTTTTACTTCAAATTATGTTCGATGCAGATGGGAGATTGCAGGTTCAAATTCCCATTTGTGCCCAGTTGGCTGATCGTGATGGCATCTGCTGTGCGCAATTGGCTGCTGTGTTTCGCCCGCAAAATATACAGTCAACTTGCTTTGCAGTATATTCCGCGAAGCGCTTTGAGACGTCTCGAAGACCTGATAAGGCTCGGTACAAATGCAAGGATTATTAGTATTTTTATTATCTACAATTGTCAGCCTGGCTCAGTTAGCAGCGCTCTTGCCTCTGAGTCAGAGGGCTGTGGGTTCAAACCCCACGTCGTGACCTGGAATCACAGGGTCTAAGCTGACGTTCCAATGCATTGCTGGGGGGGTTGTTGCATTGTCGGAGCTGCCGTCCTGTGCATGAGACGTTAAGCTGACGTCTTGTCTGCCTGTTCAGGTGGACGTTGAAGATCCCATGGCACTATTCAAGAAGAGAACAGGGTTTCTCCCGGTGTCCTGGCCAACATATCCCAAATAAAATTGGTCACTCACGTCATAGCTGCTGGTGGAACATAGCTGTGCGCGTAGGCTGCTGCGTTTGCCCACAAAATACACAGTCACTCCACCACACAGTAAATCCTGTGAAGCGCTTTAGGACGTCCTCCCAACCTGAAAGGCGCTATGCCAAATGGAAGGATTATTATTATTATTGCAAATAACGTCAGCAACTACGGGTTAGGGAGGGGA